TACACAGGACTCTAGGCGATCAGACGATGCCAGTGTGTTTCCAAGTGTCCCTCACAATGCTCATTCCTATCGTTAGTGAGGCTGTGCCTGTCAGTACAGCCAATCAGACCATCTTCTGAGAGTGTCAGTGTGATTTTCCTGATGGTCAGCTGTTTTCAGGCATCTGTCAGTCAGATATCCTTTTTTTTTTTTAAATGTCCATCTTCATTTTGTTTTTTTAAACAGGAGCTCACTGAGTGGCCTTGGCTGGCTTTGGAAGTGCTATGTATACCAGGCTGCCTCAGTCTCAAAAAGATCCACCTGCCTCAACCATGAATGCCTGGATTAAAGGTGTATGCCACTGTGCTGGCTTATTCTTGTAAATTTTTATTGGACCTCCCCAAGCCATCTGATTCCCGTCATCTATGGTGGCCTTAAGATTGCTGTGGCAGAGTAGGTGTGAGACTGTGTGGTGCAGAAAGCAAGAACAGAGCACAGCACTGAAGGCTTCTCCCAGTCTCAGCACTGCTGGCCCAGCACTGGTAACCATGATTCCTCGAATGGGTTGGTCCTACTCTGATCCCGGTGTTTCCTGTCTGGTTATTGTTCATCTTTCTCAATCACCATGTTGCTGCAAGTTTTGGCGATCATGAGGCCTCTTTTATTTTTTTTAATATTTATTTATTTATTATGTATACAATATTCTGTCTGTGTGTATGCCCGCAGGCCAGAAGAGGGCACCAGACCCCACTACAGATGGTTGTGAGCCACCATGTGGTTGCTGGGAACTGAACTCAGAACATTTGGAAGAGCAGGCAATGCTCTTAACCACTGAGCCATCTCTCCAGCCCATGAGGCCTCTTTTAATAGGACATAGGTTATTGGACCAGCCAGCAGGCTTCTCAGACTTACCAAAAGCAAGAGTTACCTCAGATGTTACAGGGTGAGACTTTATAAATTTTTGGCATTTTTGTCTCCTATGTATTGCTGCGTACATTCTGATGGGATGCTTTAAACGACTACACAGTAGTGTCTAGAGTGAATAGAGGTTGAAAGGGGGATCTGTCTCATGTCTGCACAGGAGTACTGACCCATGTGCAAATACACTCACGTGGACATCAACCGGACTGTGTGGTTGTTTGTTTTCTCTCCTAGCCCTCAGAGGTCCCCTCTTCCCCCAGCACAACATAACTCCATGAGGATAGAGTTGTATGCAGTTACTGCTTCATTCACTGAACTTGGGCCAGTGCTCAGCTTGGAAGGAGCACAGCACACTCCTAGCTCTTTGAGTAGGCAGACAAGAGAGCGGGGTAGGCAATGCTCCACCAGTGGCTTTGGCACGGAGCATGCTGTGGCCAGAGCTGTTTCTGTTCTTAGGATTTGATTCATCCCAGAAACAGATCTCTTTCTTCAGATACTTTTTGGTTTGCTCTGCATGGCTCAGTTGTGAGTCACTGAAGCTGTCTGGAGGGCTGAGGTCTGTATGGAATAGAGGAGAAAAGAAGAGATAACCCGAGAATCACTCCAGGGTTCAGTATCCTGTGGGCATCCTGTCAGGCAGATCTGGTGATTCCTGGTGCTCTCAGCAGCTGCATTGTTATAAACACCAATGGAGTCAGGGCTGGGTTACAGCTCTTCTGATTGTAAAGGATACGAACACGTTTTAGTTTGCAGCACGGACATTATTTGATAAGCAAATGTTGTTTCTAGGTAAGTTTCTCACGAGGTAGTCTAGGTTCTCTGGAGGCATGGACTGATGCAGAATGGACTCAGTGTAGGCTGGGCAAAGAGAAGCTTGGATGCTCCACAGTAGGGAAGTCTTTCATTCTCTGGAAGGAATGGTGTTACACAAAGTCCTGGGAAGAGTTCAGACAGTATTGGTAGAAGCAGGAGATGGGAGGGGGTTCCCTGATGTTCTGGAGAGACTGTGACACCTGGCTGATTGCCAAGAGGCAGCAGAGGGTGAGCACAGAGAAAGCCAGCATGACCTGGCCCCACCCCACCCCATCCTGCTCTAGAGGACCACAGCTGAGTGAGAAATACCAGTGGGTAAAGAAGCACTGGGGCTCTGCAGCGGCCATTGGAGCTCACACATTCCTGTAGTGTCCATCTGAGTTGTATCTGAGTCAGCAGGGCTAACAAACCCACCTTGTTTTCAGTAGGTATGGTGGCCAAGGCCACTGTGCTTTCAAGGGCCCATGAAAAGTTTTGGAGTCTTTGGTTTTGTTTTAATGAAATGACCTAATCAGGTCTTGATGACATCTGTGGATGTAGTTAGTACAGTTGTATAGTTTGGACTTTTTTTTTTTTCATTTTTTTTATTGAGAATAAGAAAAAAAAAGTTTCCTCCTCCTCCCAGCCTCCCATTTCCCTCCCCC